ATTCCAGCACTTGCTGAATGGACCAGGATTTCTCAGGTATTGCACTGAGCTTGTGCTTGCATCATAAGCTACACACTTGATTAGAAAAAGCCAAGAGATCACAAAATGGCCTTTATGTGTTTCTGTAGTCTTCAGCAGAAATGAGGAAGGAGTGGGTGGGGTCGAGTGGGGAGTCAACATCCTGAACTTAATGCTCCAGATGTGTGGATGATAAAAACAGGCTTTTAGGAGAGAGAAGTTGTCAGTGGCTTGAGACTAGACATTAGGGTTGGTAATGTGCAAGCAGATCCTGCTCAAACAAACTAGCTTTCAGCTTGCTAGAGCTTTGGAGGACAGGTTTCCATCCCTGAAATACCTTCACATTGGAAAAAAAAGGGGGGAGGGCTAACCATTGATACAGACTAAACTTTCCCTAACTCTTCTGGGCAGACCTGATATAGGTATTGGCAGAAACCTCCTATAATCCTGGCTAGGCAGGCTAACATGTAACCAGAGCACAGGATTTCTAGAGAAGAACATATCTACCTTTGGACTTAATGTAGATGTACTCTTGACAGCTCACATCTGCCATCTGTTTCTTAGAAGATCACATGTGAAAAGAAGGAAATATCCTGAATTTGAATTCTTAGGCCAACCTATGCATTCAGTTTTACAATAGTTCAGCAAATTAGCTGTAAGCCAGGAAATTCCTCACTGAAAACTTGATTCCTGTGATCTCGCCCCGCTTCCCTTACCTCCTCTGACACTGTTTGCCCTAGAGAAGAATGTTGCACACCAAAGTCTTCTAATAAAACAGGTTTATTTGTTAACAATTCTTCCGCTTCATTTATGTCCACACTTTCCATCTCTGGTTTCAACTGGTCATAACTTTTAACTTTTTCAATATGCATCAATTTCCCTTTTAATGGAAGGGGTGAAGAACTCAACACTCTTGGGAATATTGTCTGATCCATCAGGTGCATAGTCAGTTAACATCATTGCTGAGGGAGAAAAACCCACTTGGGAATATTGGGAGTATTAGTGGACAATATGGAGACCTTTGGGAATTGTATGAAAACAGATTGTCATGGACTAGTAACTCCAAACAAAAGAACAAATAATAGCATTATGTCTTGTTTGCAAAATGCAAATGACATCAAGAGATATACAGAATTATTTCCCAAATAAGTGAAGCCCTGGGAACTGTTTAGCTTTTCTTCGCATCAAAGTTAAGGGACCTTGGACATCCGTGGAAGTTCAAGTTCAGCAAGGACAAATGGGGAGTGGCTGAGAACAAGGGTCTAGCAGACTAATGAAGTGATGGTGCTATTCAGTGATAGTGCATTTGATACAGCTGCTTTTGATGGTGAAAAGTTTAATAAGCCTAAGGGGAAGCAGAAATATCAGAACACATGACCCACAGCAGAAAACAGCCTGTTGCTTGTTGTTCCTCATAAGGTCTCCTTGCTAGGAATGCTGCCATTCACAGTTTATATAACTGCAAACAGTAGGACATCTCACATGTTGTATAAGGAAGGTCCTGTGCTGTTTGTTGATTATAATAAAATCTTACTTCGAAGTCCCAGTAAAAGCACATAATTGTGTTGGATTCTGGTACTCATATAGATCACCAGAAGATCACTTCAGCTGCAATTTTCCTTATCTTTGGGGTTGGTGGAGATTATAAATAATGAAGGCAAAGCCAGTAAAGTTACATTTAGGTCTACAGTGCTTAGAAACCCTCATTCAGGATTGCCAGGAGCTGGGATTGAGGTTCCAGGATCCTGTGGCCTAAAACCAAAATGCCTTCCAGCTGTGCTGGGTGAAAACTGGAGAAGTATCCTACATAATTCTCAGACCATCAGGCACTTCTATTTCAGTGACACCTCATGGCTGCAGGATTGTTGCTCTGATATTAGCCAATAGATGAGCCTTCATTTTTTGCCAAGCATGTCAAGGCCAAGTGCCTTAGGAATCCAGGATGCTACCTGACACTGAGTCGAGACAGTTTGTCTAGCCCTGTATTGTCAACTCTGATTGGCAGTGGCTCCCTATGTTTTCAGGCAGTACAGAATTTCTTCCTAGCCCCATCTGAAGGTGCTAGGGATTCTGCATGCTCTATTTATTGCCCTTCTAGGTGGTGCCCTAATTCCTCTTTTCTGTGCCTGTCCTGTCCTGTATTTTACTTGTGATTTACAAATAACGGTGGCTTGAAGGGAAGGTTCCATCAAGGTTACAGAAAGTCCTACTTTTCAATCCCCGGAGTGATCTTCATCTTAAAAGAATGGCTTAAGTTTGGCTTTGATGATCTTCATCATAAAAGAATGTAGTAGATGAAGGGAACGACTGAGACCACGCAAAGCTGCTAGTTTATATAGAAAACATCTGACTAAATTAGCCTTCCACAATCCGGTGTTTTCTGATGCATTAGACTTTCACCATCCACAGCTATCGTGACTGGTTAAGGAAATGGAAAGTAAAAAGTTTGGGGAAGTCTGGGCTACATGAACTCATAGTCTGATTGTATGTTTCTAATGTCTGGATTTGTATGTTTCCAATGTCTGAATTGGTTTTTATTTATCAAGAACACCCATCTAGCTTCTTATAGTGTTAGCTAATAAGAATGTTACTTTTGAGAAGCCTTGAGATGATTCATCTGATGACATCTTGGTTTCTGCCTAACAACAACTGGAAATTGGCAGTTGTGGTAACCTGGAATCTTGAAAGAATGGGGAGCTCTGGTGGCATTTTAACCCTGCACAAGACCAGCAAACTACCACTGCCTTGGAAAATTTATAGATATAGTAATTTTTGTGCAATCAGACCACATTACATAGGCAATAATTTAACTTATGACCACAAGTAGAACATCCTCCCAGAAAATCCAGTGATTAAAATATTAGACACTGCAGATACTGCAACCAAGTAGCAACACTTTAATTTTTTGTTAAATCTACAGTTCATGCCTTTCTTTTCACCATCAAATACCTGGCCAAAACTAGCCAGTAAATATATTTGAGGATAATTGTCAGTACTATGATTCCAAAGTAAACATCAGTTATACCTGTTCATGTCTTTCTTTTCACCATCAAATACCTGGCCCAAACTAGCCCAACTAGTACTATGATTCCAAAGTAAACATCAGTTCCCTTGACAAGCTGTTGAAGTTTATTTTAGTGAATATCTGTGACTTCAACAGTTCTAATTTATTTCATACACATATTGCAGTTCCTTTTCAGATCTGCACAGACTGAATGAGCTGCAGATGCAAATTAGTTTTCTTTAGGGATGAATGGTCACAGTTCTCCTCTCACGTTCATTTAAGCAGATGAAGATTAAACTAGAAATTCTTCAAAAAGCAATCCATGTGATGAACAGAGGCACAGATTCTTTCAGCATTTTACCAAGTGGGAGAATAGATACCGTAGTTTTCACAGCAGTGTGGCCAGTGTCTACTAGGATAACATGCTTGAATTTAGAGAATTGTTGTTCCTGCCTGCCATTTTGAAAAATAGTGTGTACTTCTGAGGTCTTTTTGTAAAGATTTATTTTGTGCACTCAGCAAGAATGTTGTTGGGGTTGTGCCCTACCTAGCTGGTCCAAGACATTTTGCTCCCTGAGGAAGAATACCAAATAGGGCCCTTCAGCAACTTAAGTTAGAGTGTAGTGCTGAATAATATAATAATGATATATTGTCAAGTCAATTCTGACATAGTGACCCTTTCCAGGATTTTCTAGGCATAAAGTAATCAGAATTGGTTTACTACAGTGGACCCTCTACTTACGGAATTAATTCGTATTGGAACGGTGGCTGCAGGTCGAAAAGTTTGTAGGTTGAGGTTAATCTGTAATTGGCCGTTTTTTGTTCCATTTTTGTTCCATTTTGGTTTTTTTCTGGTCTGTAGGTCAATTCTCTGGCTGCAAGTCAAACCTAAATGTTGCGCCCAGAAGTCTGTAACTCGAAAAGTCTGTAAGTTGAGCCATCTGTAAATCGAGGGTCCACTGTAGTCTTTCACGGCCAGGATCCAATTGTTGTTGTAGGTTTTTTGGGCTGTTTGGCCGTGTTCTGAAAGTCCCTTCTTTTGGGAATGCCCTATGCAGTCTGCTCGAGACTATGCAGGCAGGCTCTTCTCCTCAGATGCACCATTATTACCCAATTGGCTAGGTTTGTATAACACCCCTGCAGAGTCTTATTTTTGCAAAGACATATATGTGTACTCCACAGGCTATTTCACCTGGAAGACTTTTTTTGTCCAAGGACAAGTGTAGGCTAAACACAGTGGCTGAGAAGAAATAGCCTTTGGTTGAAAATGAGCCAAGCCCCTTAGAGAAAATGACAAGAATATCGCTTGAAACAATTCTTATCAAAACTGTATATCGAACACATGATGCCCCAGCTAAAAGATCTCTCAAGACAGCCCTTCTGCAGAGAGGCAAAACAGAATGGATGACCTTGTTTTCTATGTATACCATGAGAATTGTCTGAAGGCCTGGGAGAACAAACACCCTAGAATGTTCTGCATTTTTGTAAACAAAATCTGCCCATCTCTCTCATAAGGAAGTATCCCATAGTGTTTCCATTGTTCTCTGACCATCAGATAGGACTAACCACATGGGCAGGATTATCTGCAGGTTAAGTGGATAAATGGCTAACAAGGGGTCAGATCACTTTAGTCAGCCTCTCCAGAAACCATATAGAAAAACATACAGTGATCATATTTGCTGTTCTTGGGCCGGGTTTCTGGTGTGAAGATGCTTGTTTCCATCTTTACCTAGAAGCCTTCTCCAGGTTTGTTTGAGTTGACTTCACTCTTCCTGAGCTGAAATAACTTCAGGCCCACTAAAATCCCACATTTAGCCAGAGAATCCTAACAACCTATATTTCTCTCCTGGTTTCTGGCCTAGGACCTCTGTTAGCCTGTCCTCTCTGCTGATCATTGTGCAAGAATTCCCTCACATAGTTCCAACTGGAATTTCAGCTTCAAAACAGTCAAATGAGACTACAGAGAGGTAATCTTTATCACCCAAATCTATCTTCTGAGATTATTTTCCTCACATATTAGTGGCTTCCTGATCTACTTCCTCTTTCCTCTGTGTGTGTGTGAGTGGTTTAAGGAAATAGGCTTCCTTCCTTTCCACTTATTCTTCTAGCACGTCTGCACATAGTTTGCTTGAGCACTGCAGGACTCTGCAGGAGCAGCCTGAATATCATCACCACCTCAGCCATGTGAGTTTGCTTCTTTTGAGTCTGTATTTCCCCTTATTAGTTATATAATTTATTGTTGAATGCTGTTTCCCAGTATAATCAACAAGTAGTGTATATTTTAATTCTTGTGTATTCAGTAACATTTCCCTTATGGGCTCTGTGAGTGTGAAATAATCAGCCCAATCTGTGTCAAGACACACTATTGCTATGATTCCAAAATCCATTATGGGTGCTTCTCTGAACATGTGTGAGTTTATGCATGTGCTCTGAGACCATACCTGCTATCACCATGGGGAATTCAACTCCCAGTCTGTGGGAAAACCCTGCTCAAGGTTGTTAGCTACATTCTGTTTCAGCGACATGCACACACTCCTGGCAGAGAGTGGCAGCTCCCAGTGGGCGGGGTGGCTCCCCCATTCTGCCTTTTCCCTTAGAGTTAATCATAAGTTCAAAGCCTTTCTCCAGCCAATCCTAGTGCTGATTATGTAACCAGTATCCTATCTGAATTCTTTCAACGTTCGGTGTAAGCTTGCTAGTTAATAAAAGGAGTTCTCAGGGTGTCGCCTGGGGGGCTCCGCTGGCGGACATCTGCTTGTCGACTTCTGTGTCTCCCCCATTCTGCCTTTTCCCTTAGAGTTAATCATAAGTTCAAAGCCTTTCTCCGGCCAATCCTAGTGCTGATTATGTAACCAGTATCCTATATGAATTCTTTCAACATTCGGTGTAAGCTTGCTAGTTAATAAAAGGAGTTCTCAGGGTGTCGCCTGGGGGGCTCCGCTGGCGGACATCTGCTTGTCGACTTCTTCATTTTCTCTCTAAAGCTAACTGCTTTCCTAATTGTCTGTGATCACACACACACACCCCCTCGTCATTAGCCTTTCTCTGTTCCGTGATCACCTACACCAGTCTCCACCCCCCCGTCATTAGCCTTTCTTTGTTCCGTGATCACCTACACCAGTCTCCACAACCGCATAGCTAACTCACTGAGCAATCCAGCCAGCTATAATCCCTAAAATAAATCAATTTATTTTGACATATTAAGGGGGGGGGGAATTCCACAAGCCTCTTTCTCCACCCATTCCTGGCAATACAAAGGCTATAATAACAAATTAACTGACAATTTACTTTCTTTTCATTGCATTCTGCCTCACTCTAACAGTTGGGCTGGCCCCAGCTACTTCAATAGTGTACCACCCATGCTTTTAAAGTGGTGTGGACTGTTCAGCCACTCAGAGGAACAAGGAACATGTTGTGCAGCACAGGTCAGGTACTTGCTCTCCCAGTCTTGCAGATAAATACTAAGTGGCAAGAGCCTAGTAGCATCTGCTGTTATTAGATCTCACTTTCCTGCAGTCAAGTCTCTTCACCGCCTATGCTTTCCCAACCACACACATTTTCTTCTTCTTTTTCTCCTACACATTTCTTACACGAGAGGTTGCTGCATCGCTCTGCAGTTCCCAATGTTCTCACAGGCCAAATGACAGGGAAAATCTGTCAGAATTCTCCCTCGCCTCTTTACCATAAAATAATGCTTAGCCTGAGGCAAAGTCCTAAGTTCATGGTGATATTTTAATTCAGCCAACCCAAAAGGCACAAAAATCTCTGTGCAAGCTTTCAAGACACAAATATCTCTTTATCAAACATGAAGTACATAAGCAGGGACCTTGGCATTAGAGCAGTGATGGCGAACCTATGGCACGTGTGCCACCTGTGACATGCAGAGCCGTCTCCCTTGGCACACAAGCAGAGCACTACCCCCCCGCTACCCAACCCCCACCCTCACCCCCCCCACACACAGCCAAATCTCAAACTGTACCATCATCAGCCACCTCTTCCTGCTATTTTCCTTGGTTCTGGCACTCTTTTATGAGATCGGAGATAAGCCTGCTTGATTGGTTACAGCTGGCCCCGGCAGTCAATCCGGGCTTGTGAATGACTCCTTCCACCCAGAGGTGACTGCAAGCAGGAGGCTTGTGAATGACTCCTTCCACCCAGAAGCAAGCAGGAGGGAAAGACTCCAGGTTAAGGAGGGAAGGAATGTGCAACTTGGTTTTATCATGTGAGTTTAAATGTATGTACAAAACAGAGGGAGCAAGGTGTGTGTGTGTGTGTGAGAGAGAGAGACTCAAAACTGAAAAAAAGGAACTGATTCAAGGAGGAAAAGCTCCAGTTGAGGGAAGGAACATGCAACTACATCAAGTTTGTTTACATGTATGTACAAAATGGAGAGAGCAAGGGTATGTTTGGGCACTTGGGCTCAAAAAGGTTAGCCATCACTGTGTTAGAGCAAAGTATAGTCTGCATGCTTTTTTTAAGATGTAAAGAGGAATACGTTGCAGACACCATAGCAGAGCTCCTCAAGTATTAGATTTCACAATGAATGGCCTCTAATTTCATTTAGAAGATAAGCTGTAGGTTTTTCCTCACCTTAAAGAAAATGTAGTCCTTCCTCTCCATTTCAGCATTACTTATTTCCCTCCCACCCGCAACCCCTCAATACCCAGAGGAAAAGCTCTTTGAACCTTTTCTTTTAGCCCAGCAGGCTGGGATTTCAATGGCGGCAAATATTTAAAGCCCCCTCAAATACATACAGTATAAAAGTCCCTAATCACTTTTATTTCTCCAAACAATGTGTACACTTCTGTGAATGATGTCTTCTTCGTACACGAAGGCCAGACTCACATGAAAGATAACCTATGATTAGAAAAGGAAAGTCCTTAGATAAATAAAGCATTTGCATATCAGAGCATTTGCCTCCAGGAGCATGCAAATTATCTTGCATTGTTTAATGATTAGGATTCAGTATCAGGACTTAAGTGTGGGATTCTTCATGAAGTCTGACTTCACGAATCCCCCAAAACTACCTCAATCACTTTTCTGTAACATTATCAGGCCATTAGATCTAATTATGGGAGATTTTTCATGTCTGTTTCTGGCCTGCGAGCACTGAATAAAAGACTCATTGTGCCTCTGTGAGTCTCATCTGATGATAATTAGCTGTATAGCTCTATACTGTCTGTATAGTAAAAGGCTCACACAAAACTCAGGACCAAGTAATTGTGTGACTTCATTTTGCATACTGTTTGTTTGCTTGATTTAAAAGCATCTGCTCTGAGCGTGTGTGTGTATGAAGGAGACTGACTGACTGACTGACTGATTGATTGATTGAACATATTTTACCCAGCCTTTCTCCTTAAAAATGCCCAAGGCAGCTAACATCATTAAAAGACAATATTTAAAGCGAAAAACAGTAAGTATACATATACTAAAAAGAATCAAACAAGTACCACACAAAAAAATGGTAAACAAAAGCAACAGCAAAAACACAAAAGATAGGTTTTGATTTGTGTGTGTGTGAAGAAGTCCTGCCCCCACCTATGCTTTTACCTCCATCTGTAGGTCCAACTAAAAGACCTCCACCAAGAATACTATTATCTCTCAGAGTTAATCTGGCATTTGCAAGCCCTTGGCACTACCAGCCCTACTGTTAGGCTGGGTGAGGCAGTTGCCTCAGCTAGCTAATGCTGGGTAATGTGAAGAGGGCAGCTGTGACAGTCAGGAAAGTTGGAAGGAACCGGCTCTTTTCCTTTGTTAAAGCAGTATATTCCTATGAGAATCTACCCAGTTAGTTTGATACCACCTGCTGAGATGGAGGATGCAGTCCCATCTCAGTGTTAACAACAGAGCCACCTGCCAGGCTGCAGGAGAAGTAAAGTATGTGTCTGTGTGTACACATGCGTGCTCACACACATGCATCCTCATGCACATACCATCTTTAATCTTAGGCTGCAAAATGTCTTGGGTTGTCTAGCCTCAGAATTGATACACACTCTCCACAATGTTTTTATGTAGCTGATCATTGCCCATGTTCTTTGGAACAGAGAACCAGTCTATTGGTGTGATTTCTTGAAACAGGTTCACGACTCAAGGGATGACCAAAAGCTGCTCTCCCAGCTTGCTTATTCAGGCTGAGGAGAGTGGAAGCAAAGGGGTATTCACAGGGGTGTCAGTTCCCCTTAACGATACACCTCTTTTGCTCCAAACAGCTTTTTAAATGGCCTGGAGCCAGCACTGGTGTGCTAGTGAGAGACCAAAAGAGAGAAAGAAGAGGAAATTAGCAGACATAGTTTACAAAACCAGCTGATAGAAATCCCTTTGCTTTAGCTGAACTGACATGAATCAGAGGAGGAAAGTGGCAAGCAGCCATTGTTTGCAGCTAGTTAAGATAGCTCTGCTGTAGCTGTGCCCCCTGCAAATCTGGATGGCTACACCAGAGCTACCATAAGAAGCGGAAAACAAAGATGGTTGACAGGTTCTTCCTTTCTCTTTGCTGAGTCCTGTACTGTTGGTTAAAGCAGTTCACCCAAGGAAACCCAACTTCCTGGGTGTGTACTCACAGTGGATCACTGTGTATTTTCCCTGTTGTGTAGTCTCACTCTCACAGATGTATTTTAATGTAAATTTTCATGGATTACAATTCACCACTTTAGATGCAACAGAGTATGTGAAATACAGTGCCTGTGTATGTGCATGCTGTTCAACACTAAGGACCAGCAAAACTGTCAGAAAGAATTTTGTCTGTGTGCATATTGTTATACCTATGTCAGATCAAATCCTCTGCGAACAGGAAGGAAATAAATTGTATTTTACATTGTTAACAAAAGTCAGGTCAGGGAAAGACAGAAAGTAAGATGTCTGTTTCCTCACAAGCAAAGAATCTTCCTAAACTGAGTTTGAAAGTTTTTTCATAATATCACAGATGGAAAGGAAAAGAAAGGAAGAAAGAAGATGTGGACAGTGATAACTGAGTCATTACAAATCAAGAAAAAAAATTAAGGAAATGATTCTATAAGAGCATGTTTCCTCCTCCTCCTCCCGTTTATTCCCTCGATCCGACAGTTTGTGTAATATGAACCCTGCAGCAAGTGCAAACATTCTGACATGCAATCAACACCGCCCATGAACCAATTGCAGTCTAAGGATTTTAAAAATCAGTTTATTTCAGTGAATGAGAGATGTAA